GCTCAGGCCGGCGGCGGGGCGCTGGGGGAGCCGGGCGGGGCCACCCCGTCCCCTCAGCAGTCCCGGGGTTGTTGAGGAGCGCCCGAGCGTCCCTGGTGCTTCAAGGTGTGATTTACACCTGGTTTTGGGGAAGTTTTGTCTGCCAGTGGAAAGGTTTTTGCCTCTAAACGCCTTCAGCAGTCTGTGCGCTGTTTGAGCCATGATACAGCTTGTCACCTTAAGAGGACATTTTAAGAAATGTATATGTGATCAAGGCCTAACAACCCTCTCAAAGCTGAAGAATTCAGCAGTAGGTTGAGCTATGAGCCCCCTTTGCTTCACACCACCCCTCCGTATCCGCTGAAGGAAATGCTATGGGGGGAAGCAATGCAATAGGAAGGGAAGTAAAAAAACCACTATAGTTCTGTCTCAGCCAAGTAAAAGTTGCTACATGCTGAAGGAATTAATCCCGGTATTTACATTTCCTTACAGTTATCGTTTGTTCTTGCTAATTTTATTTATTTTTTTTTCCCTTAAGTACATTTCAGGGTTAAAAACTGATAAAGAAATCTGCTTGAGGTAGCCTTTGCTTACTAGAGCTCAAGTTAATATATTCGTAATTCTGCTTGTTCATAGATGGCATGAATGTCCTGTTTATAGTCGTGGATGATCTGCGTCCTGTGTTGGGCTGTTACGGAGATAAGCTTGTGAAATCTCCAAACATTGATCAACTTGCTTCTCGAAGTATTGTGTTCAGCAATGCATACGCACAGGTGGGATAAATAACTTAAAATATTTTCTCTATGCAGAATATTGGTTTAATCACAGCAGATCTTAGGCAGACCATTGGAAAAAGCAAGTATTTATTAACCTTAAAGTATTTCCAGTAGAAAATAAATGGTTGGGATAAACTATACTATCTTTATTCAGGTGAGAAAAATGAAAACAGCATTTGAGTGATGGTATTTGTGTAACCCTTTGAGGAGTGTAGTGTCACTCAAACATCTTCACTATTAGCAGCAAACTGCAGCTTAAAATGCTGTTTTACTAAATTAGAATTATTTTTTCCTACTGTTTATAAAATACTGGGTTTTTACTTTTTAATTTTTTATTTTGAGGAAATCTATAGACTTTTATGAAAGGGCAGCTTGTGTGGTAAGCATCGCTCTTAACTATAAGACTTAATTGCTTTTTACTTGAATGCTTTCCATAGGATGCCTACATTTCCAAGTTTTCCTCTGCTGAGAAATAGTAAGTTTGAGTCTAATTCTGTCTTGGGATTAGGACTTCAAACCAATAACTTGTGGTTCTTGCCAATCTGAAACAGAATTGATAGGGCCTTTGGACCGTAACCTGGACCTTCTGTGTGTTTATCCCTTTCATTATTCTTAAGGCTGTCCAGATCAACTAGAATTTGAGCTTCTGTCAGCGTAGTCCATCTGCCACTTCTGCTTGATTCTGTGTGAGTGCAAGCTAATAGATTTGAAAAGCACTGTCTTTAACACAACGTGACTTTTCCCCCCACCCCCTGCTACTAGCTGCATAACCAAAGCTTTTAGTGCTTAGGAATTGGTTATTTGAGTAAAAAAATATCAGATAGGTAAATGTATGTCTTAGTAAAAGCTTGCAATTGGGAATTGAGAAGGATGCTGTTCATTCCATCTTGAAGTGATACAAAACACTTTCACTGCTGTTCCTAAGCAGGATATTTTGCCCAGCTACACCTCAGTCAGTTCATACATGTGTTTTGCTTTTTGCTCCAAATTGATTTTGTTTTTGTCTGGCTCTCTCCTCAGCAAGCCGTGTGTGCTCCCAGCAGAGTGTCATTTCTTACTGGACGCAGACCTGATACTACCCGGCTGTATGATTTCTATTCCTACTGGAGAGTACATGCAGGAAACTATTCCACCTTGCCCCAGTATTTCAAGGAGAATAACTACATGACCCTGTCTGTGGGGAAGGTGTTTCATCCTGGTATGGTTTGAATTGTCATCTGCTTAACATACGCATGTTTAACCTCTATATTCTCACAAACAGATTTCACATATAAGTATCAACTGTGTCATTCTTGTCACTATTGACAACCTAAGTCATAATCGTGAGCCAGGTTGTACAATGATTGCAGGTTGTCTTTAAATCTTAATTTTAAATCTTAAGGCATTAGAAATGAGTATGTTAGATGACTCTTATCTAATGAATATTTTCACGCCTTGTCTAGGGATTGTGGGAATAAATGTCTAACATTCTAAAAATATGTCTGGAGTCAGGTATCTGCTAAAGATGAAATTACTGAATAACCTCATTGTCATAGTTCTGCAGATACACATTTCATATGTTATAATAAGCTGTCTGGATCAGGAGACAGAGAATGTAAGACTAATACTACCAGTTAAATAGGAAATTAGTTCACTAGTTAAAAAGCGATAACACTACTGAGTTGAAAAATACTGATCCTCTTTTCGGTAGTTCTTTACCTCACAACTAAACTTGTGTGCCTGTATAAACTTTCAGTTGATAGTAAAGCTAGTTAAGGATGTACATGAAGACTGTTATTAATCTTGGTTTTAGTGGGTTTTTTGTTGCTGTTCCCTGAAATAAGGCTCTTCAAGAGGCTTGAGTCTCCCTCACCAGTAAAAGGTGTTGTGATGAAAAGTGGTGCTGTTCCCTGAAATAAGGCTCTTCAAGAGGTTTGAGTCTCCCTCACCAGTAAAACGTGTTGTGACGAAAAGAGACTTTACTGCAGAGTCCGAATTTAACAATTTATTTGAACAACATGTGCAGATCCAGTACGTCACTATTGCAGGTTCTATGGATACAATGGAGAATGCACTATTGCAGTTTGAAAAGCAAGATTACACTATTACAACCACAAGAGATTCACAAAATGCACTACTGTAACTACAACAGTCACAAAATGCACTGTTACAGTCCACAGGCAATTCATGACAGACGGCAGACCACTCTCAAAACTCACTGCCCATGAGCAATTCACAACAACTCCCAGGCTACTCACAAAATCCACTATTACAATTGCCAGGTGATTTAGTCAATCACCTGTGACTACAAACTTAAAGCCTGCCAAATATTCACTTACCCCTCCAGGTAAGGGCTCCCACATAAGTTACCTTGGTCAGCATTCCGACCAAGGGGGAAGGTTCTCATCACTCCATGGCTGGAGAAGTAACTCCCCATTTCTAGCATGAATCTTAGGATTTTTATCCCCTGGTGTATGGAACAGCAAGCAGGGGCATGTCTCAGTAGATTAGACCACCTAGAGTGTCTGTCTCCAGCAATACTTGCCCTTATCTTTAGTTATTTGCATATCCTTGTATCGTTTGGTCCCTTGGAACCATACAGACATCCTCCAGCTTACATTGTTTTACTTTCTGGCAATTTAACAGTGGTTTGATTGGGACTCAGGGCATATTATCTGTTGGGTGATTTCAAGGCTCAACTCGGGTTTCTGTTCTTTGTGTGATGTGGCACTGCCCTGTTTTAGTCTTGGGCTTATCAGACAACTCAAGGCTGAGCTATCCATGCAGCTCCCCACGTGTTGTCTCTGCAGACATAGGGCCTCAAGACAGTTCAAGGCTGAGTCACTTGCAACCCTCCGTGAGTCACCTGGTGCTCAGGACACTACCAAAACCTGTTTGAACTACGAGCCAGACAGTCCTTACAGGTGTATTTGAGGGAAAAATGTCTGTCTTGAACTTTTTGGCTTTTATTCCTTGTTTTTTGGTTGGTTTGTTTGTTTTCTCAGTTGTCAATATAATTTGAAATGTTTCTTCGTTTAGCATATTTTTAAAAAAACCCAAACAACTGAAAACGAGTTAAACTTGTGTTTGAGCTCTTCCTGTGAACTACTGGAGCATTTCTAATATCTGTAACCTTTTCAGGGGTTTCATCCAATTACAGTGATGACTATCCATACAGTTGGTCCATTCCTCCCTTTCATCCTTCAACTGAAAAGTATGAAAACGACAAGGTAAGGGAGATTTGTGGGGCCTTAACAAAGAAGTTTTTGGATATAACCAAGTTCTTTGTGTCAAGCCCAGGCTATCATCTGTGCTTTTGGGACCACAGCTTTGTGCGGGGAGACAGTTTGGTACTCTGTTCCTTAGGCTTCCAAAGGGAGGCCTATCTCTTCAGCTGTGTCATATTAATTCATGTGCTCATCCTGCAGATATTTTAAGTACTTCTGAGTTAGTATTTGGAAACTGAAGTTACTGAGATATAAAAGTACTTGCAAGAAAGAGTGATCTTAATTTGTGTTTAGGTTATGAATTCTTTTATCTGAAAAGTGCAGTTTTCAACTTCCACGCTAACCTTGCTCTGCTTAGTAATTGTCAATAGGCTCGGTGAACTTAATTCAATAAAGAGCTCAGGACTGAGTGGGTGGAGGTCATAATTAAAATAATCTTTAAGTAATCTGAAAATTTATCATCTGATTCAGTTTTCTGGAATTTTTCTTACTCTTAAATGTGGCCCAAAAATAATTTAAGTTTATGTAAGCACTGAGATAGTGTTGTGTGCTGGAGTCTATACACTGCGAAGCTGGGACTCCAGCCATGAGGCTACAGAGCCTTGGCGATGCTGTGTCCTGCATTTACTGCTGAAAAAGACTGATTTGAGCAACCAGAGTATCTGTATCCATGACATAGTTTTCTTGATGTTCATTTAGCAGCTCTCTCAAACACTCTGCTGAGGCCACCTTTTCCTGGCAACTCTTTAGTCTAATTGATCTTTCTTCACTGATTATGTATCAGCCGCTGCTGGCATTTGCTCAGCAACTGTCAGTAGCTTCCAGGCAGCTTTCTATGAGCTCTTGGATTAGGAGGAGTAAAAATGCATGTATATAGTGTGACCAAATCTGTTTTCTTGCCAATAGGTCAGTCCTGTTCCTCATAGGAGCTGTGCATTTTCCTGTATGACTACATTTAATCTTTTGCTCGGCTTCAGAGAGGATTCTGCTTTTCCATAAACATGGAAGTTGCATTCTTCGACTCCTGAAGCTGTCTGCTTAGTCATGAATGTACCCTACACATTTAGTGTTCATGGAAATCTGTGAAATGCCTTTTTGCATCCAATGTGCAGCGTTTTCATGGTAGAAGGATTGAGAAACATATTGGTTTGAAAATTATGGAACAGAAGATTTCTTTGCATTTACAGAAGTTAAGTTACTTAACGAAGTCATTTGGTGTTTTTTTTTTTAAAAGACTTGTAGGGGAAAAGATGGAAGACTTTATGCTAACTTGGTGTGCCCAGTGGATGTGACAGAAATGCCTGGTAGTACTCTGCCTGATATTCAGAGCACCGAAGAGGCCATACGTTTACTGAATGTTATGAAAACCAACAAGCAGAAATTCTTCCTGGCTGTCGGTTACCACAAACCTCATATCCCACTGAGGTACCCACAGGTGAGGAAACGAGCCTGCAGGGAAAGGAACTTAGTCAGGTGTTGCTTTTGCTTTTCAAAGCTGTTTCCCCCAATGCTTTAATGCTATTGTTTCTGAAAAGCAAGCTGAAAACCAGCTTTGGTTTGGGGTAACTTTAACAGTTGCCTGTGTAGCATTTCAAAATGTTTAATGAGAATGAGTTGTGACTGCTCAGTTGAGAGCCAGGCTTCTACCACCATAACAGTGGCTGCTGCTGCATGGAGAAGTGTTCAGCTTGATGGAGTGTGACACAGTGAGGCCTTACAAGATCTTGTACCCCAATCCCTGCTTGAGTTGGTGGCAACACTCCTACTTGTTTCAGAGGAAGTGATGTTGGACCTTTTATTTCAGTGTTGCTTTGAGACACAGGAGGCTGGTTTTAGGTACTTACTCAGTATTTTTCAGGAATTGGTTGGTACACTAGCATAGCATTGCTACATTTTACACTCTGGGGGTGGAGAAATGAAGCCTTGTAAACTGTAAGAATGTTAAAGGATCATGCAAGGGAAAATGGTTGCTGCTTTATAACACAAAGTTTACAATAGACCTTTTTTGTGTGCTTGTATTGTAAAGGAATTTCTCAAGTTGTACCCTTTGGAAAACATCACATTAGCCCCAGATCCCTGGGTGCCTGAGAAGCTTCCTTCTGTGGCATACAACCCCTGGACAGATATCAGGCAGAGGGATGATGTGAAGGCGTTAAATGTTAGTTTCCCTTATGGACCACTTCCAGATGAGTTCCAGGTAAGCTGTCGGGGCAGCGTGGTGAAGTCAAACTGCTTTAACTTGTTCAGATGCGAGGGAGCAGTCACTGCTCAGATGTTCCCAGGTATTCAGCAACTGTCAGTTTGCAAATGCTATGGGTTCCCTGCCTTACGTGCCGTCACCTCTGGCTTTGTAGGCAAACCCTCGCTGTAACTGCAGTCCTGCTGGTGCGAGCAAGGAGGAAGAGATTGCTCCTGGTTTGTGTGTAAGGGAATGTAGCGATGTCGTGTTTGTTTTCATTATCTGAATTTTTCTGTTTGAAGCCACCACTCGGCATATCTTCTTTTGCAAGATTTTCCTTGGCTTTCCAGTGTTTATACCAAAATGGGGTGCACTGGCTGGACCATGAGAGAAGCAGAATTGATTGGGTTGCAATGTTTTGATTGAAAGAGCTTCTGGGGGAGAGAGAGAGAATTTTCTAACAGCTCCCTTCCTGTTTACATTTTCTGGTACATAAATCAGGCTAAAGACACTTAAAATAAAGCTTTACAAATAAAATATTTTAATTCCACAGCCTCCCACTGGTTGTCCTGTGTGTGTATCTGAGGAAAAGCTAGCTTTCTTTTTTCCCTTCTCTGTTTTCTTACCTTGCAGCGGCAGATTCGTCAGAGCTATTATGCAGCAGTTTCTTACCTGGATGTGCAAGTTGGCCTGCTCTTGAATGCTTTGGATGATGTGGGATTCTCAAACAGCACAATAGTGGTTTTTACTGCTGATCATGGTAAGCATTTAAGTCTTTCTCCAGTTTACTGTTGATAACTTCATTGTGCAACTCAGTGCTGGCATATTAATCAAGTGTGTGTTTATATAATGTACAGCAGAGCTACCATACTTTGTATGTCTGGCTAGTTTGTCTCTCATTAATAGGCTGACACAGGCTTCTGTGGCTGCATACTTCAGTCCCCCTGCAGGCACCTCTCTTTAATCAGACTGAGGGTTTGCTAGTGAGTGATGACACACTGGGCTGAGCTTGCTGTCTTCCCACCTCCTACTCAAGTAGTGACTCCTGCTGGAAACGGTGCGGTGAAAGGACAGCGACCACTCCTCCCTACGATTTGTAGAGAGCCATCTGGTACAGTGGGTGACAGGCTTTCTCATTAACTGCTGAAGTGTGTTTTCTTGCACTCATCGCTGCTTGCGGAGCATCTAAACTGGTAGCAGTATTGCTCCTCCCTCATAATTGAGGTCTTGCACACTCTGGATCCTGGTGGTAAAAAACTGAATTGGAATCGTGGGACAAACACCTCAACCATTTAATGTTTGTTTTGATACTCTAATATTCATTAAAATAAAGCCCCCATGATCTCTTTAATTGGGGAATGGCTTAGCTGACTTAAAACAGTTAGGATATGGCTTAACTAAATAAATTTAAAGTCATATACTTGGTTATTTTGGGTTGACTTCTGTGAGTGTGTGTGTAAACAAGCCCTTACGAGTTGTAGAGCAATGGGATTAATACTTCTGGTGCTAAAGTGACTCTAGATGTTCCCTCTGATTTGCCTCTTTGACTTGGACTTTCCACTGCAAACTGAATTCCTCTTTTCCTTGCTGTGTTTAACTGTAAACAGTTGGTGTTTCTAGTACCATGGCTAGCAAAGTGATTCAAAAAATTCAGGTGTTAATATACCTGTCATAGAGCTCCTTTGTCATCCCCCAAAGTGAAGTTGGCAATAAATCTGCCTGGAAGGAAGTCACGTTGGCATCTCTTCCAAGAGGAAGAGGAGAGCTGAAGAGTTTTGATCTCTATTGCTTCCTCAGGGAAGCATCCTGATGTGGCAGTCTGGTGTCGACAGCAACCTGGGCTCCATACGGCTTTAACAGGAGTATTGGAGAGCTGGCAGATGCCCAGAACTTAAGTGGGTGCTTTGTGGCATGGATCTGGAGACTTTTGCAGGCGCAGTGTAACACCCCAGTTCCTCTTTCCTGCTGTTTTAATGCTGTTTTCCTAATTGTAATCTAAAGTAGGGGACATAAGGAGAGGTGTAATTGTTCATTGATAACAGTATCGAGATGAAAGATTTAGGCAGCTGTTGAAATAGCTTTCACATTAGATAAAAATTTTATTATATTTAAGTACAGATTGTTACTGGCCTTTTAATATAACCTTGATAACAGACTATGGCCTCAGCAGCCAGAGTCAGTTTACAGTGAAAAAGAGATGACTACTACATTACAACCCAGTATCTGCTCTGAATTGTTTTCTTTGTTGTCTAGGATGGTCCCTGGGAGAACATGGGGAATGGGCAAAATACAGCAATTTTGATGTTGCCACCCGTGTGCCGCTGATGTTTTATGTACCAGGAATGACAACTTCCTCTGTTAGTCAAGGAGAGAGGGTCTTCCCCTACCTTGACCCTTTTAGCCGTACTTCAGGCTTCATACCTCAAGGTAAATGTCCAGCATTTAGTTTCTGTTTGCAGTGGAGATATGGATATGGATATATATGGATATATAGTGGATATATGTAAAGGAGAAGGCAGCTCGAGTCAGTGTCATTGGCTGTGCTTTTTGTACTGACGAGGAACAAGATGGTGAAGGGAATCCTTGGACACAAACCTTTGCATTGGTTAGATCTGCTTTGGTGGAAGCAGCTAGGTGTCTGTGTTAACACAGCGTGATCTATTTTTGTGTGATGTTGATGCTTAAATAAGTGCAAAAGTTTTCTTGTTAATACATCATAAATGCATAGACTGGCATCTTCAGAGCTAACTGCCGTACCTGAATTGCTTTGATTTAGTTACCCCACAAGTCCAATACAAAGCACTGTCAATAAAACACCAACTTAAATAGCAGAGTAAGTTACTAAAATGTTCTACCAATGTCTGTCAAACCATCATGTTCCATAACCTGTATTTTGATGTTTCTTTTAGGGCAAAGCAAAAAAGTGGTCGAGCTTGTGTCTCTGTTTGCAACGCTTGCTGACCTTGCTGGCCTGCAAGTTCCTCCTCTGTGCCCGGAGACTTCATTTCATGTTGCGCTGTGCACTGAGGGGCCAAGCATTGTCCCATATTTTGATGCCTCTGAAGAGAAGGTGGAGGAAGAGAAGTACGGGTGTGATGACACTTACAGGTGTTTTAATGAAGAACTTGTTGCTTTCAGCCAATATCCCCGGCCTGCAGACGCTCCTCAGTGGAACTCTGACAAGCCAAAGCTGAAAGACATCAGAATCATGGGCTATTCCATGCGTACAAGCGACTACAGGTACACTGCGTGGGTTGGGTTTAATCCTAACAACTTCAGTGCTGACTTTGAGGATGTCCATGCAGGAGAGTTGTACATGGCAGCGACAGATCCAAACCAGGATTATAACATCTATAACAGCACTTCACATGGTTGGTTGGTCAAAAAGATCCTTAGCTTCCTGAAGCACTAGCGTTCAGAAGCTTGTTGTGTCTTCTTGTAACTGAAGTAACACTTCCGTTTTTGTATAAAACCTTTGTTGTACAGAAAACACTCGGGTTGAATTAAAATCCTGTTTGTATCAAAACACTGCCTATTGCCTTTGTCTTGTTACAGCCCTTACTACACTGCATAGGCACAGCTGTTTTAAAGCACAAGCACGGTGCTTCTGAAAAGGTCACACAGGATGCACAGGCCCATACCCTGAAACATCACTGTGGTCTGTAGTGACTGAAGAATTAAAATTCATTGTCTGAATGTGCTGAAACTGGTGGTGTGAAAGGTGGAAAATGAGACACTTCTGTGTTTGACAGGCTGTGCAGAAAATGTGCGTCAGTAAACACGGCCTGTCTTCCTTACCTAGGAATCTTGGGGCTGGGGTGTTAAATTTGATAGTGGTGAAGGACTGAGGTATCTCCTGAGACCAGCCTTGCCTCTGACCAGAGCTGAAAGAGAAACTTCATTTGTTTCTTTCAAAATGTGTTTATTTTAAATAAAAGCTGTAATCTGGAGATTCACGCTTCTTACCCCACAGGAGAGGGTCTGAATTTTTAATTAATGTGTATGAAAGGAGTGCTTTCATCACTGAAACACTAAAGACTGAGGGGTTAAGGTCACACCAGTGACCTCTGCTCTTCTGTGGCTTTTTCATGAGGACTGGTCCAGTGAGGCCCCGCAAGTGAAGAGATGGAAACCTTTAGCTTTTGGTGGTAGCTGTACCTTGCTGGTTGCTGTAGTTGCTGAACTGCTTGGTGCACTTGAGGGCTGTCATGTCCAGTGACAGAAACTTGGATGTTTGCATTTTTAGGTGCTAAGTGGGATACTAGAATAGCTAAAAGCCTCCCATTTAGTTTTAAGTTTTCAATGTGGCATTTAGCAACACAGGAGGCAGAGCATTAGTTGTCCCAGGTTATGCTGGTAAGTAAATGCCTATATGGCCAAATGCATTAAGGTAAATATGTTTGGGAGCTTGTGTCTGAGAAAAATGCTTTTGCTGAGCATTTTAAGTGCTCTCTGTACCTTATGCTCACAGGCACGAGGTACGCAGCGCTCCAGCGCCATGGCAGTAATTTGTGTTGTGTTCTACGAGCCTGCTGGATTTCTGCAATTCCATCTTTCCTCCTCAATCGAGGCTTTCAGAATTTGTACCTTAACAAATAAGAGCTTGTTCAGACGGTGCTCACTCCTGCTGTCTTTTCCAATCCCTGCCAAAAGGAGAAGCCAACCATTACTTGTCTTCCTCAGATAAATTGACTTTAATATCCTAGAGAAGCCACAGACATAACTTTAATTTATTAAATTTATAGTCTTATTCCTAATTAATGTAGAGATACCCACCATGAATCTGATTCTGTTAGAAGACAGCAGTTAGTGTCTTAAACTCAATTAGAAGAATATCTTCCTTATGAGCTTCTCCTTTGTTTTACTCATCCCAAGATGCTGTGTGTTCTGCAGCGTTATTATTCCTGAGGAAAACATATTTTTCCCCTCCCTTATGCAGGTATACTTCGATCTTCAGATGGTGTGAAATGCTGCAGTTGCATGTGGCAGATTCAGTGTAGCTCTACTGCCTTGGCTTGACTTGTCGCTGGCTGAAGGTAGGTTTTATGGAGAACTGAGCCAGGCAGAGATCTGGAGTCTGCAGCTAGAGCCAATTATATCTGACACACTTTCCTTCAAAGGAAAATCAAATATTGGGAAGGTTATTTTGGGCGAATACATTGAACTGTTAAGGATTAATCTAAACCTGTGGTATTCTAGGTCAGTAATAAAATGCACGTTTAAAATTGCTCTGGCAAATGGGTGTTATCTTAGACTTGGCTGCTTTTGTTGTCCTGCTAAAATACCTGTTAAGAGGTTTTTTGGGATTTAAAATTACACCACGTAAATAAATTCTTTAGGGATTTATTTGCATGAAGGCAGTCTTGTACATACCCTGCCCTAAGCCTCCCATCACTTCAGCTGATTTAGTTTTTCACGTGGAAATAAAAGTCCTGGTGTTAGGTGATGAGTATTTTTTTTTTCCTTAAGTCATTCTGTTTTCTATTGAAAGCGAAAAGCTGCCCTTGACCTTCCTTAATCAAAATGCAGTAATCTTTTGGGTAGACATGAAGCAGAATTGTCTCGGACAGCCAGTGAATGGAGACTGGTATCCATGTGCTCAGGATAAGGACATTCTTGAATAATTGCAGCAGTTTCTGGGCAGGATGGCTGTCCACCTAGCGAGCACTTTCTGCCTGCCTGCCCCAGAGTTGGGGCATAACATTTTTGAGGATGAGTGAGGCATAGCAGTAAAAAAAAAGCTTCGCTCTTGCAAGAGCTATGTGAGTTAGTTTTGTTATGGAATTGCAAAAGACAAAGTGAGAAGGCACATTTCTTCAAATGAACCAAAATGCTGCTTCTGGAGAGCCTGAGCTAGACTTTGCTAGGCTGAGCAGCCTGCACTGAAGAACAAAAGAGCTTAACGGGAGCGGTACAAGTGAAGTGCTCTTGTGAACAGCGCTTTCTCTAGAGGGAAGAGGATGCAAGCCAAGCATCAGGAAATAAATGAGGTGCCAGTGCTGACCCTGTTTCTTGGGATGGCGTCGCAGCAGCTGGAAGAGCAGCGT